GTTGTTTGGTGACCCCCGTGAAATGGTCATTCGACCCCAAATGGGGTCCCGACCCACAGGTGGAGAACCACTGCTGTAAATTGAAGAAGCAAAATGGAACTGCCTGATCTCCCGTTTGCCCAGACAGGAGGGCCACCCGGTTCCTGCCTAGGTTTTGAACCCCTCCTCACAGGGAGTCCTCCATGTACGACGGACAGCTGGCACCAGAACTTCTCTTGCTAAGCCACGTGGTTGTTAAGTGAACAGCACCCAATTTTAGGACCTTTTTGCTGTAGTCATTAATCAAACAATCGTTAAGTGAATCCAGTTTTCCCCGCTGATTTTGTCAGAAGCCACCTGGGAAGGTGACAGCTGGCAGTCACGTGACTCCGGAACGCTGCAACCGTCAACAATGCCTGCCAGTTGCCAAGTGCCCGGATTTTGATCCGCACGTGACCACAGGAAGGCTGCGACAGTCGTAAATACGAGGTCCAGTCATAAATTACTTTTTTCAGCACCGTTGTAACGTATAATGGTTGTAAGTCAAGGACTACCTGTATGGTTTCTGGATGTGGAGGTTGTGTCACGTAAAGATCACACAACGGTCTCACCTCCAATCATCGGCCAAGGATTCACAGCCTTTGCTCCAACCCTTTGCCACAATGCTAAGACACACTGGCATCACAATGAATGGACACACAAACTGCTATCCCAGCACCCACAATTCACAACAGTTGTCTTGGATTGTACACCATTAATATCCAGTGGGTGTTGAGAGGGGAGAATGGGGAGCCCCTTCCCCAGACCAATACTGTTTCAGAGGACACACTGGCAGATGCCCAGTGAAGCTAAGAGCCAAGTTGCTCTACCCTGAATCTGAAGGGCCCCCACTGCCCCCACCCCACCCCCAGCCTGGGAAGAACAACAAACACCTCCAACTACTCCAGCCTCCCCAGCCTTTGAAATGTGCAGAGACAAGCCAAGGTATCTATTAAACTTACATTTCCATAAACAAAGCCTAGCTGGCAGTTATCTCCCTTACAAATAAAGAGTGTTCTCAAAAAAGCATTTTTGGTGGAGGAAGAAACTCTTTTGCACTTGGGGGGGGGGAGAATCACCCAGCCCTGCAGCCCTTGCAGACTTTCACCCCACGGCAGAAGCAAAGCAGATGGAGAACATGTCTGAATGCAAAATAACAAGCAGACCAGGAAAGCAACATCTTCATTTCTGCTCTCGATACACACCAATTCCCTACAGGCTCAGTTCCTGTGTTTGGCTGGGCGTTCTAGCGTGTGTGAACCAATGTTTGGCTCATAAGGACAATTCGGTTGGTCCAGTCAAAGGTCAATCACCAGAGCAAGAAAGAGAAATGTTTCCCGCCTAAATCTTTACAAGGCCAATGCAGCATACAATGGGGCAACCTTGCGGTCTTTTCCAACCCCGGGAAGACCAAAACAGGTTCAAATCCCCCCAGGTACTGCGCCAGCAAAGCAACACTTGAGACGTGTCCTCCGGGGCCCTTTTTGCAAGTTTAGCAAATGTTGGTAATAACCCGTGGAAGGAATGGAGTTCTGTACAATAGAAAGCCAAGGAAAACCGCTCCATTTTCTGAGAGAAATGACCTGGAAAATCCAAGGGGGAGACAGAAGATCCAAGGAGACTTGCCTACTGTAAATCCTCCCTGGCCAAAAATGGCGCAACGTTTCTCTCTCTCTCTTAAGCCTTTCTTTGGGCTGGTCTCCAAGATGAAACATGCCTAGACAATTGGTAGGCAGGCTCCCGCTGCCCAGGTGCCCATTGCAACTCACACATTATGTCACCAGGATGTGCAGAGGGATCTCTTGTAGCACAGCCACACTTATCGGGCAGGTCTTGAGATGATGCCAGCGTGCCTCTTCAACCCAGCTTCTCCCGGCGCTACATAATGGCCCCAAGTGAGCATTTTGTGTTGCTGGCTTTCCTGGGCCCTGAAGCAGCCCCCGGACACCCACCCTGACGCCCCCTCCTCTTCCAATTGGCAGGTAAAATAAATAAACGAGGAAGGATCCAACAAGGCTTCTCTAGTGAGGGGAAGGTCTGAGATGCCCTTAAAAGTGGCGAAGGACGCCCAGTCCGCTTCTCCCGACACTTAAGCCTAAGAGGGTGTTTTTTCCTGACACTCTTGGGAAATTATGCCCCATAAGAAATATGCCCTGGTGCAGCAGGTAGCAGAGAAGTGCCATATAGAGCTTCTGCATCAGGAAGAAACAGAGCGAGAATGAAGGAGTGTTTTTTTTTAAGCACCAAACAAAGAGAAATAAGTCCTTCTGGGGCCAGGTTTTTGCCCGTGCCACCTCTTGCTTCCACCCAGCCCGCCAGACGCATCGGGGACTGCCATGGCAGCCCACTCCCATTGCCTTCTATCTTGCTGGAGACCCCTTCTGTTCTCCTCGGGTCTGTTCAGCCCCTCCCCCCACCTGCTCCGCCTTGCAAGGAGGCCCCCAGCCCTGTTTTCAAAGGCCGGGGAGAGAGCAGCAGAGAAGAAAAGGGATCAGCAAAGATTTTCATCTGAGGGGTCCATGAGATTAGGCCAGCTGCAGAGGCCCACATCAAGACCACCGAAATACATCCCCTTTGCCATGATAGCCCCATAGCAAAGCCCCGAGGAGGGGAATGCCCCCTCCCCTGCTGGAAAAAAACGCCCCAAAGGCCGTGGCAAAGACAACCTAGAGCTTGCTTGCTGATGCCAACCACACCGGGCCCAGCCCGAGAAGTTGTAAAGAAACTAAATCGAGAAGCTGAATTTAATCAAAGAAAGGGCCAAAGTTTTAGGATAATGTTTTTGTTGCGCTCAAGTTTACTCAACACCAGAATCACAAGGTCCTGGATTCCTACAGGTCAGGCAGTGAAGCTCTCTTACCTGCCGCTCAAGCAAACATTATTTGCTTTCGTTGTTTCTCTACTTTAGACAAGGAATTGGATTTGACCAGAAATGGGAGAGGAGGGAGCTGTTAACTGGGCATCAGCCCCCGTCAAAAGAGGGGGAGAACTTCCAGGAGCATTGTTTTCGCTGGAGAGAAAACATTTTAAAAACATTGTTCCCTTTTTCTAGCCCAAGCCTTGAACCTAGAGAGCAAAGTGTCTAAAAGTATCCACAAGAAATTCCTGCTCACTCCATGCAGAGGAAGGCAACAAGCACCTACGCAGTATTACACCGAGGATGAGTTCACACATCACACAACTAAGCCATACTTAACGTCTGATTAACTTGAGGCTTGCTCAACAATTGTAGCTCAGACAAATCTGGATTAACGGTATCACGATCCCAGTTATACACAAGTCCGGGTTACACAGAAGAATACCGAACATATTAGTCCACAAATTAATCGACTAATTACGGCCACTTTGGAGATGTGGGCTGAAATCCCTACTCAGCCATCTTAGTACTAATAGTATTTTTATTTACCATGGACATATTACTAAGCATAGTACCAGGAATAAAACTACAGTTGATACAATAAAATACTGAAAACCATTTATAACTTCATAATCTCACACCAAAAGCTTCTAAAATAAAGATCCGTGAGATGTAACCACTAAACCTCCAGGTCTTCTTAGACTCGGGCTAGACTGAGACATTTTAGGGTTCTGAGGTGGCAAAACACAAGTTATAATTCCAAATAAAATTTGGCACGAGTGGATTTGGACTTGATTTTTCAGGCCCCTTGGACCTTAAAACCACCAGAAGGGCTGAAGTGGGCCCTGTTATTAATATCCAGGATATGGATCCTGCTCCTTTCCCCCCCCCCCCAACCTGCACTGCTGTTTAGGCAGATTAAGCTTAGCTGCCTTTCTCACCTCCTGTAAGCAAGGATTCTGCTTGCTAAACCTGCAAATAAGCTTGACGGGAGAACGGAGAGAGGGAGAACACCAACAAGCTCTTAAAGGGGTAGGGAAAGCTGGCAAATCTCTCCTGACCCAAAGAGGCGCAAAAGACTGCCAGCTGGCAGCCAGTGCACCCCATGGCGAACCTGGAGGGGATGATGGGTGGGATATCCCCATATTGCTGGCATGGGGTGTCTAGGGAAGGCTGGCACAGGCAAACTGCACCTTTCCCGGTGAGAGCAAAATGGGGATATAAAATTCTGAATGAGAAGCTTTATTGGGATGACGAGAGTCTAACCAGTCAGCCAAGCCCCCAGAATATCTGGTGGCCCCCCAAGACTGGAAACAGATACTGAACACTCCATCGTCACCATATCCAGGATGCTCGGAGAAGATCTGTCTCAGCACAATCCACTCTCCGGGGGGGGGGGGGAAGCCCCTCAGGGTCCTTTCTCTCCTTTTTGGATTACGTGGGGGAAAGGACGCCTTGGAGGTACCCCAGCTTGGGCACCCAAGAGGAAGATCTACAAGTCACACTTTGTGGCCGAGACGGCCTGCCAAAGGAACAGTATCCCCAAACGGAGCCCAGACCAAATCCCACCCATGTCCCCAGACGTTTCTACCCATCCTCAAATGAACGGCCTCAGAGCCTCTAAGCCTCCTCCTAGAGCAGTGTTTCCCAAACTTGACAATTTTAAGGCATGAGGACTTCAACTCCCAGAATTCCACAGCCAGCAATGCTGGCTGTGGAATTCTGGGAGTTGAAGTCCTCATGCCTTAAAATTGTCAAGTTTGGGAAACACTGTCCTAGAGGGTCTGGGCTTGGCCCCATAACCACACACGTCCCCATCCTTTGGCATCAGTCCAGTCACCTGCGGGGTGCCCGTCTTGACTACACCCCTCCCTTGAGGGGGCATCCCGAAAGCAGGGAGACTACAACTCCCAGGATTCCTAGTTAGGATGGGAAACACACGACGCCAAGTCTCCCGAAGATTCTGCCAACCGGCCAGACTCGGCTCAAAAGACACTCCCGTTCAACTCGGGCAACCCAGAGAAAGTTTTGCCTCTTGCAGCCAGCCGCCGCCATCCGTACCTTCCTTGCGGGCTGCGGAGCCTCAACTGCACCAAGCGGCCCAGCCAAGAGAGAAGCAACTCACCGTTTTGGAGTCCAGCTCGTGCCTGGATTGGGCCAGCACCTTGTCCACCCCGGCCTGGTCCATGAAGGTGACAAACCCGAAGCCCCTGCAAGGGATGAAGGGCCGGAAGAATGGAGGGAGGGAGGGAGGGAGGGAAGGGGGCAGCCGGAGAAAGGGAGAAACTCGGTTAGGGGGGAGGGGGAGGGCAGCAGGCACCTCCCTCCCTCCCTCTCTCCCCCGGGAGTGAGGGCCGGGGGAGGCGGCACAGGGCCCCGGGGAGCCTCACCTGGATCGCTTGGTCAGCGGGTCCCTCATCACCAGGCACTCCTTCACCTCGCCGAACTGGCTGAAGTACTCCCGCAAGCCTTCTGCAAGCACAACGCAAGGCCACCCGTGGGGCTCCGAGGCGGGAGGAGGCGGCGACGGGCGGGCCGGCCGGCCGTCCCAAGGCGATGCCGCTGCGCAGCCCGCCGACCCGGGGCAGCAGCGAGGCCCGGGGGTTGAACCCTCCCGGGGCCACGGGAGCCCCTCCGGAGCGGCGCTCCCACCGGCTCGCCCGCGCCAACCCCGCCTGTCCGGGCCCGGCCCATCAGCCGGCGTTGGGGAGGGCGCGGGCGGCCCGGCCTCCCCGCACCCGACCACAAAGCCCGGGAAGCCCCGGCGCCGGCGGCGGGCTGGTCCGCGGCCCGCTTCCCTTGCAGGGGCGGCGGCGGCGGCGGGAGGGCAGGAGGGAGGCTTTGGGGGAGGAGCCGCGAAGTTCGGGGCGGCAGGTGCCGCCGGGCGAGACCCGGACCCGGGACCCCCTCCCCGCCCGCGCCGCTCACCTTGCGTCGTCTGCCAGCTCAGTCCCCCGATGAACATCTTGCTAGCGAGGGAAGAAAGAGAGCCGCGTGAGGCGGGCGCCGGGCGCGGGCAGCCCCCACCAGCCGCGGCCGGGGGCCGAGCGACGCCCCGCTCCGGGATCGGGCAGGGCCGGGGGCGACGCGCGGGGAGCCTCGGGAAGCCGAAGCCCAGCTCCGGGACGCCGGCGAGGGGGGGCGCGGCTCCAGAGCGCCGGGGCCGCCGGGCGGGGGGCGCGGGAGGGGGCCGGGGCGCCCCGAGATGCGGCGGGGGCGGGCTGCCAGCCTAGCCGGCCGGCCGGCCGACGAAAAAGCGCTGGCGGCGGCGGCGCGCGGGCGAGCGGAGCGGCGAGGAGCGCGGCGCGGGCATCGGCCATGTTGGCTGCTCCTCCCGGCCGGCCGGCCGGCCGGCCGGCGCTTCTCCAGCCACGAGCTCCCGGGCCTCGCGGGAGGCGGGGACGCCGGCGGCTCCTGGAGCGGAGGGAGGCAGGCGGGCGGGCCGAGTACCAGGGATCGTGAGGCGAGTCCGGGGAGGCGAGGCCGGGCTGGCTGGCTTCGGTCTCCATTCGGGCTACTTCTCCCGGCGAGGACCAGCGCCACACTCGCGGGGCAGCTGAGCGCTGGAAAAGGGGCCGGACGGCCAGGCCATGCTGCCCCCTCCCCCGACCCCTCTCAGCCGGGCGGGGAGGGGAAGGGAGGGACGGGCCCGGCGGGGACAACCTGGCCGGCTCCTCCCACCCCCGGCAGGCGGGTGGCCGGCGTGAGCATAAAAGCCGGCCCGCCGGCGAGCGCGCAGAAGGTGGCTGCGCCCGGGCGAGGCGGGCGGCGTGGCGCGCGAGGCGGCCATGCGCGCGGCGGCTCCCTTTCTGCCCGCCGCGCCAGCCTGCCTGCCGCCGCCCCGCTTCCCTTCCGTCACCCACGCGGGAGAAGCTCCGTCCTTGGGTGCGCCGGGAGACAAAGGCGCCTCGCCTCGCCGCCGGCTCCTGCCTCCCCCTAGAAGCGGGGCCGGGCGGAGCTGGGCCGGCCCAGGTGCCAGTTCGAGCTCTGCCAGCTGCGGGGCCGGGCGCGGCGTGGCCCGCAGGCCGCCTCCCCGCTTTGTTCTCTACCTTCGGGACGAGGCCTCCATGGTCAAGGGCGCCGGGAGGGGGGGCGCCCTGCTCTTCCCGGGCCTGCCCGGGCCTTCATTACTGTGGCTCGCCGGAACGGGGGGGAGGAGCCCGGGCCGCGAAGGGTTAAAGCCCATCCAGCCGGCGACACCCAGCATGTGACTCGGGCAGCGCGGGCTGGAGGGCTCCGGCGGCGGGGACAAGGGCAGCAGCCAGGCCCGGCCGCTGCCCCGCCGCTGCTCCCCGAAGGGCTCCCCTCGGAGCCGGCCCAGGCCCGCCCCCTCCCGAGGCTCGCTCAGCTAGGCCTGCGCCGCGCGGTCCGTGCCCGGCATTTGGCGCCAGGCCAGGCCTGGCACCGGCCTGCCGAACGCCCGGCATGAAGAGCTGCCGGCGAGGGGGGGTTGGTTTCCCGCGACGGGGGAGTCGGGCAACGGCCTCCGATGCGGCCCGGCCCACCTTGAGAGGAAGAAGGCGGCTCCAGCAAGGAGATCCAGAATTGGGGGTTCTGCCCATGAGATGCAGGCCTCTCCAATGATGGAGGTCAGAGAAGCCACACCGGCCACGGCCTTGTGAGGGCAGAGCCCCGAAGGCTGCCCTGGTCACCTCCGGAGCTTTTCATGGGCCGGCAAGGGAGAGGAGGAAGGCTCCACTCCTTTCCCTCACGGGCCAGTTTGGAAGGAGGAAGGGCGAGGCTGCCAGAGACTTTTGCCTTCTGGGCCGGACTACAAGAGCCCCAACCGGAGAGGGTGGCCTGTTGAACAGCCTTGGGAAGAGCAATCAGCTGCCGCTTCCTACAAATCTACTCTCCCCTAAATTAGTTCCAGAGCCCCCGACCCTTGGACTGTCTCCCTCCAGGGCCACAGCAGCAAGCTTGAGTTGGTTCAAGGTCGGTCTGAGGGCACCAAGCGCTTGATAAGCTACCATTGCCGGATTCACACATCGCACTAAGCCCAAACCGGTGACTTCACAGGCCACCCTCACCTGAAGCCAAGCAAACGACTTAAGAGTTGCCTGCTGCGTGAACCCCACCAAAGGGTTGTCCAAAGGGCGCCCCCCCCCCGGTCTTCCGTCGCCAGTCAAGCCCCCTGAAGGCAGCACACTCAGCCTCTGTCCGAGGGGCATCACTTCCGCCCAGGCTTAGATCAAAAGGGCAACATTCTGGGGTTGCAAGGTGGCACCTTGTCTTTGTGGCACCTTCAGAGGGCCTGTGGGCATCCACACAGCCTTAGCCAGACAGACGGGAGCGCTCCTGTTTTCATTCAGACAGCCAGAATTCTTCAAGAGAGGCAACTGATGCAGGACTTCACAACACTTCTACCTGCCCCCTCCAAAGTGTTAATTTCCAGAAAAACATGTTGGAATTGCAAGCTGCAAATGGTCTACAAGCACATCCCCACAATATGTTGCTTAGCCTTGATCCACCTGCCTTGGCCAATACAGGGAAGGTCACAGTCCTGATGGGTTGTGTGTTATAAGCTAGGAAGGGTAACATTTCCATCTCTGGGAACTGCAGCCTGAATCCAGGGGGTCCTAAGTGTGCTTTGCATCGCTTCTCTCACATTTTGACTTGCTGGTCAGTCCCCGCTTTTTGAGCGCTTTTTGAGCGAAAGGCCCTTCTTCGCACCCAGGTGCCTGGTTCAAACTTCGGTCACGCTGTTCTGCAATCTGGTGCAATCTGCAATCCAGATTAGGCAGAAAATCTTTGTTAAAAAGCCTTTGCTGCAAGGAGCGACCTCAGTATAACAACACAAACATTTTCCAGATGGTTGTGCAAAGAAGGTATAGAATAGCTGGTAACATTTCAAAATCTATGCAGAGCCATTTCTGGGCACTGAAAGGCCTGGGGCTCAGCCCTTGGCAACACCAGACAGAACTGGGATAGTCTTGATGCCCAGAAGCTTTGGAGACCTGCCAACAGCACAGCAAGTGGACCTGATGAATTAAAATGTGATTTGGGATACAACATGTGAGCAAGTATCAAAAAACCTATCGAGTGACAAAGGAGAGAGGATTTGAGTCTCCCATCTATAGGGCTATCCCTGTCTAAAGTCTTCAGGTTCTTAGTTCAAACATCTGAGGAATGTTGAGAGAAATTTTGGTGAGGCTGGGGGACTTTCTCTCGACTTTCAGACATTCCTCATCAGGATGAGAACTTCCAAGGAGCCATTCTCTCCCATCTTCTGAAATGCCCACAGAAAAAGCCCTGTGTGCAAAGGATTCTTCGGCTAGTCTCAGAAGACATTCCTCTGTTCACCTCAACCTTCCAGAGGTGTTTCACAATCCAGAGATGGTTGCTGCTAGCTTGTTGCAGCCTTGAGCAAAGGGGGCCTCCGAGTGTGGCTGTCTCCAACTTCTAAAACCCCCAGTTGTATAGGGCTGGATGTTGAAGCCCACAATGGAGAAAATTGCTCTGAAGCAATAAACTCACAATTCTTACCAAGTATGGCAGAACCAGCTTCAAATAGAGGCAATATTTCCGCCTAACGGACGTGAACAGAGAGATTTCACAGATACCCAGGTTTGGCTTAGTAGACTGAATTGGAGCTAAAAGGATCTTTCTACTACCCAGCATTTGTATGGTAGTCCTAGGCCCCCTCTTTCTTGGTATGGATTGGCAGAGGTGACAAACTAAGCACCCACTCCCTTCCCAAAGTCAACATTGATTGTTCCCCTCACACCAAAATAGTTACTCTAACTCAGTGGTTCTCAACCTTTTTAATGCCACGACCCCCAACCGGTCGTAAGTCGAGGACTACTCAACCGGTCGTAAGTCGAGGACTACTCAACTGGTGCAGCACCATTTGCAGAATGGGACTTTTGGCAGGCTCAGCAGGGCAGAGACAGCTTGGACAATTCCTATTGGCTTTTGAAAGCCAATAAAATTACACTCTGTTCAAGAGAGTCTATTCTATTGGCTTTCAAAAGCCAATAGAATAAAAGGGAGTAGCACAGCTAAGGAAAAGGGGGGAAAAAAAGGCAAACTGCATTGTTTGGCGACCCCCGTGAAATGGTCGTTCGACCCCAAATGGGGTCCCGACCCACAGGTTGAGAACCACTGCTCTAACTGTTATCAAGGAGAGAAGCAACCTGGAATTAAGGAGAAACTTCCTAACAGTGAGAACAATTAACCAGTGGAACGGCTTGCCACCAGAAGTTGTGGGTGCTTTCATCACTGGAGGTTTTTAAGAAGAGATTGGACAACCATTTGTTTGAAATTGTATAGGGTCTCCTGTTTGAGCAGGGGGCTGGACTTGTTGTTGTTGTTAATTGCGAAGTCGTGTCCGACCCATCGCGACCCCATGGACAACATTCCTCCAGGTCTTCCTGTCCTCTACCATCTTCTGGAGTCCATTTAAATTCACACCTACTGCTTCAGTGACTCCATCCAGCCATCTCATTCTCTGTCGTCCCCTTCTTCTATTGCCCTCAATCTTTCCCAGCATTAGGCTCTTCTCCAGTGAATCCTTCCTTCTCATTAGGTGGCCAAAGTACTTGAGTTTCAACTTCAGGATCTGGCCTTCCAAAGAGCAGTCGGGGTTGATCTCTTCTAGGACTGACCGGTTTGAACGCCTTGCAGTCCAAGGGACTCGCAGGAGTCTTCTCCAGCACCATAGTTCAAAGGCCTCAATTCTTTTGCGCTCAGCCTTTCTTATGGTCCAACTTTCACAGCCATACATTGCAACTGGGAAAACCATGGCCTGGACTATACGTACTTTTGTTGGCAGGGTGATGTCTCTGCTTTTTAGAATGCTGTCTAGATTTGCCATAGCTTTCCTCCCCAGGAGCAAGCGTCTTTTAATTTCTTGGCTGGACTAGAAGACCTCTAAGGTCCCTTCCAGCTTTATTCTGATGCTGATCCGGTTAAGAGCCATGGTAGCTCAGTAGTTAGAATGCAGCATTGCAGGCTAATTCTGCCGACTGCCAGCAGTTCGATCGTGACCGGCTCAAAGTTGACTCAGCCTTCCATCCTTCCAAGGTCGGTAAAATGAAAACCCAGATTTGGGGGAACAGGCTGGCTCTGTATCCCACGGATGGAGCTTTGCTTGTTTGTGCAGACCGGTTGCTGGCATGCCACAGCTCAGTGCTGGTCCATGGACCAGGGGTTGGGGACCCCTGATCTAAGCCACACAAGGTCCTGTGTGGGTGCAGGAAGAGCTACTCGTTTCCAGAGTGAAGGACAAGCACAAGTCCAGTCCCAACCAGTTCAGGCCCTCTGCTCCACTCTGAGCTCAGCATGGGGAGCTTTTCAGAGCAAGCTCTTGTGAACCTTCCCAAGGTTTTTTCCATGCAGACGTCTTGGCAAGACTCAACAGCTCTGTTCACAATATGTAGATACTCATCATTTAATAACCGCAGTTGGCATTGACAGCTCAGTTGCTAAGCAAAGCGGTCACTAAGTGAAACTGTGACCGGCCTTTTGATTTTACGTCAGCTTCTCTTTGCTTTACAGACTTGCAAAGGTCATAAATGTGAGGAATGGCAACTTTTTCATCTCCATCCTAGCTGCAAATGGTTACTAATTGTTAAATGTGGATTGCCTCTGTGCTGAGCAGAACCGGATCAACAAAAAGCCAATGCGTTTTGCCTTGTTCAAATGAATGATCTTAAGATGGCTAAGTTCACACAATGTACTAAGATAAAGGCCCTGATGGGATTTGCAAGCATCCAAGTGACACAGTTCCACCATAGCCTAAAAAACACCGTGCTGTGGAGCCCAACCTGCAGCGGCTGGAGCTGTGATGTCCTCGGCTAGTAGAGGCTTCCAACACATTTGCTGGGGACCTCTGAACTCTGGCATTTGTTTCAGTGAGGTGGATCAGGACTGAATTCCCAGAATCTGTTGCCAACATGCTGGGACTTGTATTCCCAATACTTAAGGGTGATAGCAAGTAGACAGGCCTGTGCTTGGGATGACCATGTTGTTATGATCCATCAAGTCAATTTTGACTCTTGGGCACCTCTCTCAGCTTCTAACCCAGGACTTAATACTAAACTATCTCAATAGAGATGTTTACTTAGGAACCAAGGATTAATAGAAGTTCAGAGTCTGTATCAAAAATTATGCCAAGGCGCTACCTGATCACTCTCTCCAACTTCAAATAATCTTATCTTAATCTTACTTTGAATCAAATTCAAGGATGATTTCTGGTAAGCAATGAATAAGTGCTGATAAAATCTAGAGAGATCTAAAAAGCTTTATGAACATCCATTATTCTTTGGAGAACACTAGAATTTCTTGAAAGGAGGGTTCACAACATACAGTATAGGACACACGAACACTCATTTTGTGGTTCTTGGACAACTAGAGCACCCATGGACTGTATGGGTTCAGCCTTTCCAGCTCCTTTGGGGTTGATTTCCAAGGTATCAACCAATATTCAATAATGATCAACAATTATCAAATCGCAAATGTCCCAAAACTACAAGGAAACAAACATTCAAAAAGATCTAGACCAGGGGTAGGCAACCTTGGCTCTTTTATGACTTGTGGACTTCAACTCCCAGAATTCCTGAGCCAGGCACGCTGAGGGGAAAGGGGGAGGTTTCCAAGCTGAGCCAGGCTGGCTCCGGAATTCTGGGAGTTGAAGTCCACAAGTCATAAAAGAGCCAAGGTGGCCCTCTGGCCTAGGCCTAGGTTGCTTTATGACTCATGGACTTCAACTCCCAGAATTCCTGAGCCAGCAGGGCTCAGCTTTGAAATCTCTCCCTTTCCCCTCAGCGTGGCTGGCTCAGGATTTCTGGGAGTTGAAGTCCACAAGTCATAAAAGAGCCAAGGTTGCCTACCCCCGATCTAGGCCTAGGCTCGAACAGTGGACCAAAACAAACAGGGAGAAATGTGAAGGCCTGCATCAGAAGAGGAAGACACTTAAGTCTAGGATGGGGAAGACCTAGCTTGGTTGTAGGACCTGGTTGTCTTTGCTGATCACGAATTAAACATGAACCGGGCACTGCTACAAAGGTTGGTATCTACTAGCAAGAGTGTACATTTCAGGTCACAGAAATTAATTTTCCACTTTACTCTGGAGGAGGTGAAGACAGCTATTCATGCAACGAAGTCTCTAAGAAACCACACTTTGCAAAGACTGAAGGAAGTGGGTATATTTAACTTGCAGAAGAGAGAGGCCTGATAGCAAGCCTTCAGATCTCCACAGGGTTGCCATTAGGCTTCTCCTTCCACACCCAAGAAAGCAAGGTCAGAATGAAGAGATGGGAACTAGAGGGAAGCAGATTCAGGTTGGATGCAAGGAGGGAATTCCTACAGGGAGGAGCTGTCAACCAGTTGAATGGGCCGCCTCTTAGGATCCTCTCAGAGATCTTCAAAGAAGTAGACAACTTTCCATCTCAGCTGTTTTAGCAGAAGCTAAAGCTCATGGTGGGACTCACAGCCTCTGTGAACTAACAGTCAGTTACCAGGAATTCAGTGTAGTAGCCTCTTTTTAAAAAAAAAAAAAAAAAAAAGATGGAAGCAGCTGTGAAAAGGACACCATTTTGCTTTTTAAAAACTATATATTTTTATTATTATTATTATTTTAAAAAAGAATTGGGTCCCAAAGAGCTGGTAGGCATTAGAGCAGTGGTTCTCAACCTGTGGGTCGGGACCCCATTTGGGGTCGAACGACCATTTCATGGGGGTCGCCAAACAACGCAGTCTGCCATTTTTTCCCCCTTTTCCTTAGCTGTGCTACTCCCTTTTATTCTATTGGCTTTTGAAAGCCAATAGAATAGACTCTCTTGAATAGAGTCTAATTCTATTGGCTTTCAAAAGCCAATAGGAATTGTCCAGGCTGTCTCTGCCCTGCTGAGCCCGCCAAAAGTCCCATTCTGCAAACGGTGCTGCACCAGTTGAGTAGTCCTCGACTTACTTTTCTTTGGCCACGGCCCTGGCACCCGGTGATGTATAAGTGGTTGGGGGTCACCACAACATGGGGAACTGCATTATGGGGTTGCGGCATTAGAAAGGTTGAGAACCACTGCATTAGCGTATATTGATCACATGCAACTTCACAACCAACTTTTCTGTTTACCAGAATTTTTTTCTGTAAGCTACATGTTAAATTGGGTTGCTACTTGATTCCAGGTTCGTCAGTCCTAAGAATTCAGCAAACATGACTCACTGGAAGATTTCACACGTTGCCAAAGCCAGGATTTTTTTTAAAACAATGGTTTACTGTCCAAACGAAATCAGTGTTTCAAATTTGGCAACTTGAAAGATGTGTAAACTTCAACTCCCGCAATTCCCCAGCCAGTGGGAAAGTCCACACATCTTAAAGTTGCCAAGTTTGAAAACACTGACGTTGCCCAGTTCTGTGTTTGCCATTTGTGCAATAGATACACTGTATCATTACTTAGGATTGGACCTTCTTGCAGTAATAGTTTATTTGAATTTGTTTTAGTAACTATGTTCTTAATTATTTTTTTAGATTCCATTAAACTTATTGTTTTCTCTGTGTTTAGGAGGATGTGATAGTTCTTTTGTTCAACATTTTGTTTGTATCTGGCCTTAGGGCTGTAATAAATTAGATGTGATTTGGAAAAAAAAATCAGCTAAATTGATGAGTTAGTGTTGTACACTAAACCATAAACCACGGTTTACGTTTCACAGGAATTGGGTTAACTCCAAAATCCCCTACAAACTACCTTTATGTGGTCTAGATATATTTAAGAATCTTCTCTATGTTCCATTCTGGAAGTTTTTAGAATAAATAAATCATTTCATGCACATTTGGAAGGGGAGGTATGTCAAAAAAACTACGGTAAGATGACAATTGGGACTGTGTAAAGGCCCTCACTTTTTTAACCTGTGTTGCACACACATAGAAAAGGGGATGGGTTTACTGTGCAGCTGCCCCCTTGACTTTTTGACCACCCCTGCACACACACACACACTTACCCATTCAGTCCACTTTTCTCTTGGCAGCTTTAAACTGGGTGGACTTGTAATAATAGTAGTAAAGTTGGAAGGGACCTTGGAGGTCATCTAGTCCAACCCCCTGCTCAGACAGGAAACCCTACACCATTTCGGACAAATGGCTGTCCAGTCTCTTCTTAAAAACTTCCAGTGTTGGAGCATTTACTGCTTCTGGAGGCAGGTTGTTCCACTGGTTAATTGTTCTCACTGTCAGGAAGTTTCTCCTTAGTTCTAGGTCAGAGAAACACTGAATTGCATCCACTCTCCCTGCAGCTTGGGGGGAACGAGCAAGCGGCACCTATGGTTATGGTTATGGTTATGAATTCATTTTATTTTGTAAAGTGAATTTTGTTGTATAACTATGTTGGATAAATGGAAAATAATTTAAAAAAAAAACAACAACAAAAAAACACTGATTTTGCCCAGATTGAGAAACACTGCTTTAGAGGGGAGAGGCAGAGGAATTGTGGGGGGGGGGAGAAATCATAGGAAACCCTGGCTTGCTTGCCATCCTTTGGAGGGGCGGAAAAATCCCTGTATCCAAGGTGCCCTTGGAGTCCAAATCTCCCGATTCTCAGGCATTTGTGGGGCCTGCAGCCCAAGACATCTGGGGGAGCCCAGTGGGGGTGTCGTGTTAGTATCCTGACCCAAGTCCCCAGATGTGGGGCCACGAGATCCTGTGGCATACAGAGGCTGCTCTGGATGGAGTTGGCTTGGCCACCGTCCTCAACTGTCTCGGCCAGGGTGTAGCCTCCATGTGGTTACTGGCCAGCCGTGGAGGAGGTGGCCCTGGATCCCGGGAGCCCCCCATGCTCTGGAGGTCTGATCTAGGAGCTGAGACTAGAACGCATCTCTCCCGGTCAGGAATGAGGCCCTGCTCCACACACGGAAAAGATTGGCGGCATCAAATTCTCTTCCTGATGAGAAGCAGCCGGCCTGTAAGGAGGACAGCCAGAGCCAAAGGTCAACAGAGAGGAGGAGGAGGGGGAGGAGGAGGAGGAGGAGCACAAAGGGCACCGTGTTTCGTTCATGAGGGGCCCTGGAGGACCCAAGGCATGGCAGCTGTGCACAGCCGGACTGCAGCCGAAGTAGCCCGAGCACCCCTGTGCCTTGGTCTGAACCGCCACGCTGGCTGGGAAAGATGGGCACTGCAGTCCAATGCTATGGGAGACCCCAGACCAAGAAAGGCAAAGCCAGCTCCCTGTCTTGTGGGTATGCTTTGCATGCCAGTCTCACCTTCAGTCTGAAATATCTCTGGGGTAAAAAGAACCCTTTGTAGTGGAAAAGGGGGACAGAGGCACCAAAGTTAGTCTAGGAGTAAACTCTTCCTATGGAAGAAAGAGGAGAAGAATTATTAAAAGTAGAAGAGTAGCAACTGAAAAGAATCTGTCTAATAATAATAATAATAATAATAATAATAATAATAATAATAATAATAGTAATAATAGTAATAATGATAATACAAATTTGCTATTAGTCAATTGCAAAAGTCAATTGCCTTACTAGGAACTGCTTCCATCCTGCGATGATATCTGTAATACCATCAAACATCCACATCTGCCTATCCCAGGTCCTGGGTAAGGACTCGATAGGTAGACAAAATGCCAAATCCAGTCTGAACATCTGGCAGACTGTGCGATGATCCATAATAATAATAATAATAATAATAATAATAATAATAATAATAATAATAATAATAATAGTGAAGTTGGAAGGGACCTTGGAGGTCATCTAGCCCAAACCCCTGCTCAGGCAGGAAACCCTATACCATTTCAGACAAATGGCTGTCCAGTCTCTTCTTAAAAACTTCCAGTGTTGGAGCATTCACCGCTTCTGGAGGCAGGTTGTTCCACTGGCTAATTGTTCTAACTGTCAGGAAGTTTCTCCTTAGTTCTAGGTTGCTTCTCTCCTTGGTTAGTTTCCATCCGTTGCTTCTTCTCCTGCCTTCAGGCGTTTTGGATAATAGCTTGACTCCCTCTTCTTTGGGGCAGCCCCTGAGATACTGGAAGACTGCTATCATGTCCCCCCTTGTCCTTCTCTTCGTTAAACTAGACATACCCAATTTCAGCAGCCTTTCCTTATATGCTTTAGCCTCCAGTCCCCTCATCATCCTTGTTGCTCTTCTCTGCACTCTTCCTGGCCTGCAGAAGGCATCTCGGATGCAATGAACATGAATCTGGGCAAACTCTGAGAGACAATGAAGGACGTGGGGGGCTGGTGTGCTATGATCCATGCAGTTGCAAAGAACCGGACATGACTCAGCTACCGAACAACAACAATCTCAGGTGTACCCAAAGGTGTTTTTTTCAAAAGGCAATTGGACTTTCCTGGTTTTTCTTTTCTGGAAAATATTTCGTAACTTCTTACCCACAAAACTTCTTCAGTTGTTTAGCTTCTTGGATGAGAAGTGAAATGTTTTCAAGGAGAAAAAACAAACAAGGAAGTCCAGTTGCCTTTTGGAAAAACACCTTTGGGACAACCATGACCTGGATGTTGGAGAATCTGATAGACATCCCAGAAGGATACGCAACCGAGGCTCCCAGTACACAATTGGGTGGAATGTTTGCTCCCGGGACCATCCTAGTAGATCAGTGGTTCTCAACCTGCGGGTCGGGACCCCATTTGGGGTCGAACAACCATTTCACGGGGGTCGCCAAACAACGCAGTCCGCCATTTGTTTCCCCCTTTTCCTTAGCTGTGCTACTCCCTTTTATTCTATTGGCTCTTGAAAGCCAATAGAATAGACTAATTCTAATTCTAATTCTATTGGTTTTCAAAAGCCAATAGGAATTGTCCAGGCTGTCTCTGCCCTGCTGAGCCCGCCAAAAGTCCCATTCTGCAAACGGTGCTGCACCAGTTGAGTAGTCCTCGACTTACGACCGGTTGAGTAGTCCTCGACTTACGACCGGTTGGGGATCGCGGCATTAAAAAGGTTGAGAACCACTGTAGTAGATGGTCCTGCTCCTGCTTGGCTCCTCCATGCCAGACTTTGACCCCGGGGAGGCTGGCTGGGACCTGGGGGGGGGGGCTTCTGAAAGGCTTGCTCAGACCCCACTCTGAGAATCAGGGCTGCGAGCCATGGTCAATATTTGCCAGCTCAGCTGGTGGCGGGGCTCAATTCACTCACTTTGGTTGCGAAGATTCATTCCAGGGCGGCACAGGAGATGAGGTGGGGCTGGACACCAGTGCGTAGTTGCCCCCCGCAGCTCAGAAACTGCCTCCGAGTTCAGAAGTTACTTTTATTTTCAGAGTCTCGTGAAAGATTATTCCCAGATAGGCTCCACCCCAAGAAACCAGTCTGAGAAATAAATAAAAACTTGTATGTGAGACAAAAATGGCCATCAGAATGAATGGTCCCACCACTGAGAGCCGTGTTTCTCGACCGTGACAACTTGAAGATGCGTGGACTTCAACTCCCAGAATTCCCCAGCCACCTTCGTTTGTGGCTGGGGCTGATGGGAGTTGGAGTCAAATAATGCCTCATGTATCCCATGCCCCATCTTACATCATGTCATCTTTCTGAATCGCAGGCAGCCCTCAGCTTACAACAGTTCACTCAGTGACTGTTCAAAGTTATGATGGCACTGGAAAAAACACTTATGACCCTTTTTCACACTTACGACCGTTGCAGCATCCCCAAGGTCACGTGATTTACATTTGGACGCTTGGCAACTGACTCACATTTACGACGGTCGCAGCATCCCATGATCCTCTTTTGCAACCTTCTGACAAACAAAGTCAATGGGGGAAGCCCGATTCACTTAACAACCGGATTACTAATTCAACAACTGCAGTGTTTCACTTAACAACGGGCTAAGGAATGTCATAAAACAGGGCAAAACTCACTTAAGCAGTGGAAATTGTGGACTCCATTGTCGAGGACGGCCTGTATTGTTTCCTGGGAAGTTGTGCCCTTTCCTTCCTCTGGGTGAGACTGAAAATGAGCAAACATTTTGCCTTTTTTTTTTTTAAACTTTTTCTGGCGCTTAGCTGGAGAAACTTCACAATTTAACATTTGTTAAATGTTTCCATGAACATATTGGCTCAGTTTGCACCGTATTTCTGCCCTTCTGTTGAAAGTTCTGCCTAATATGGTTTTAGGCAAACTACTTTCATTTAAAAATAATGCATTTTTATACTATTTGCCATTCTTTTTTTAGAAAAAAAAAGAAAGAAATTGCAAGCAGGAATGCAAAATTTGGAGAAGTTTGGCTTTTCGGCGATCACCGCGGTCGAGCCTGCGTAGAGATCATCTCCAGCTTACGACCATAGGTGAGCGCAAAATTTTTCTTGCTAAGCAAGACACTTCTTGTGAGCTTTGCTCCACTTTACAACCTTTCTTGCCACAGTTGTTAAGTGAATCACTGCAGTTGTTATTTATTTATTTATTTATGAGACTTATATACCGCTTTAAGTGCAAGCACTCTCTAAGCGGTGTACACCAGTAAGCAATGTATATATATATTTACATTGCCCCCAACAATCTGGGTCCTCATTTTACCTACCCTGGAAGGATGGAAGGCTGAGTCAACCTTGAGCCGGTGAGATTTGAACCGCTGACCTACTGAATACAGTCAGCTAATGTGGCCTGCAGTACTGCACTCTAACTCGGCTCTGTTATGTTAGTGACACGGTTGTTAAGTGAATCTGGCTTTCCCGTGGACTTTCTCCCTCTGAGAAAGTCACAAAAGGTGGGACCTGGGACGCTGCAACCGTCCTAAGTCCATGCCTGTTGCCAAATATGTCCGGATTTTGATCACCTGACCCTGGGGAGGCTGCTACAGTTCTAAGTGCAAAAAGCGGTCCTAAGTCACTTTTTTCCAGTGCCGTTGTAACTTCGAACGGTCACTAAATGAACGGTTCTATGTTGAGGAGGACCTGTAGTGGTTTGACAATGCAGAATCAGAGAATTTTAATCTTCAGGGCAACTTCAACAGTGGCGCTGACTGCCGCCCTGCCTGGAGAAGCGTCCCCTGCTTTTCCTTGGCTCCACGTCTGGGTGCCCAGCTGGGATAGAAGCCTCTGTTCCCGATCTGGCCAGCCGGCTTCCAGGGAGGCTTTGGAGACTCCCAGACCTATCTTCTGCCATTGGGGGCAGGCAGGGAGGGAGGCAAGGGGGGAGCGTGGAGGCTGGGGAGGTACATCCAGGCTGGGAGCCGGCCTGGGAACTCGGCGGAGAGGGAAGGCTGGAGTGGAAATGATTTGAATGAGAACAAGCAGAGCGGCTGAATAGCCGCTTTTATTCCTGCCCCGAGCCTTTGTCAGCCCACCGCATGGGAAGCACAAAAGCCCCCCCCTCCCCGTCCCAAATTCATGGAGTTTTAATTGGTTCTCAGGTGGGGGAGGAGAGGGGGCTTGGCACAGGGAGGGATTCCTTAAAGAGACCCTCTCCAACCCACCCCACACTGGGAGGGGACCCTCTGGGGGGGGTGGAGGAAGAAAATTATGGGGTCCAGCGGGAGGGTCTCACAAAGGATGAGAAGCCAAGTCCACCCAGTAGCAGCAGCAGCAGCAGCGACAGAAAAGAAATCGCCAACTTTTGCAGGAGAGGAGAATGGGGCGCTGCCCCACCCAGGGCAAAAGTGCACCTTTGAGGAGTAGAAAGGGTCCCCCTGCCCTGCCCTCCCCACCCCCACCCCAATTTCTGCAGATGGAGCCTCTGCATCAGGATCTCTCTGACCCACTGCAACTCCATCCCATCGTCCAACTGTCCAGAGGCAGCTTTTCTGCAGCGCAGGGATGGCGTTCCCCCAATCTCCCCCCCCCTTGCAGGCCAGCCTTCCAAGCTTCTATCAAAGGCAAAGCAGCCCAGGAAATGGGGGTGGGGGTGCGAAATAGTCCCTGACACAGGAAAAGGCCCAGGGGCTTGGGGGGGGGCAAAAAAGGAATTGGGGATAGTGATAGCCAAAGGCAGAAAGACTGGTTTGGAGACCCCCCCTCGCTCTTTACTCACAAATCTCTGCAAAGGACTCCGTGTTCTGGGGTGGGAGCAAGAAACTTTTTCTATGGGGTGCTCTCGGGTCTCTGCAAGAACAAGGGGTGCAGCCAGGAGAAAGCTACATTTGCTCCGCTGAATCTAATTTTAATTCACCGCACACCCTTATTATGTAATTCTCTTCTTAAAAACCTCCACTGTTGGCGTTGTGCATGCGCCAATAATGGAAGTTCTTAAGGAGAGATTGGACAACCATTTGTCTAAAATGGTATAGGGCTTCCTGCATGGGCAGGGGGGTTGGACTAGATGACCTCTAAGGCCCTTCCAACTTTATTATTATTATTATCGATCATCGCACAGTCAGCCAGATGTTCAGACTGGATTTGGCATTTTGGCTACCTATCGAGTCCTTACCCAGGACCTGGGATAGGCAGATGTGGATGTTTGATGGTATTACAGATATCGTCGCAGGATGGAAGCAGTTCCTAATAAGGCCGCCTTTTGCAATTGACTAATAGCGAATTTGTCAATGCCAATGGTGTTCAAGTGGTGCTCCAGTTGTTTTGGGATTGCACCCAAGGAGCCTATGACTATTGGTACTACCCTTGCTTGCTTTTGCCACAGTCTTTCTATTTCTATTTGTAGGTCTTTGTATTTTGTTATCTTCTCCAGTTCTTTCTCTTCTATTCTGCTATCTCCAGGCATATGCGGTTACCCTGTTGCATTGGATGGTGTTTAGCTATCCATGTCTGGGATGAAGGGGACTGCAGCTGACCCAGGTTGATGCCTTTTAATAATATTGCTCCCAAACCTCATTTGGTCTATGTCCTACTCAAGTAACACCGAAGAAGAGGTTTTCCACAGACAGAGTAGATTTCTGTTTCTCCAGAAGTTGCAGAAACATCTGCAGTAAGTCCACAATAGCGCATTGTCTCCGGTTTCTTCCAGTCAGGTCCAATGTTCAGAGTGGCTCAACAAGGTTAATATGGTATCATCTCAGGTACCCGAGTTGGGAGTAGTCACGAGAAGACTCTTTGCCTGGTGTGGTCAAAACGTCCCAATGGAGCAAAGCAGATTGCACTGTTGCAACCACTAATCTTAACGTTGTTGACCACACACTACAGACACTCTGCCTGGTGTAGGAGACGAAGGTGGCGCTGCCTCAGAATTGCATTTGCCCTTTCAGAAGTAAGATGGAATCCTACCAAATTGGGAAGCCATCGAATCTGGAGAAAACGCAAAGGGAACTGATCTGGACGGATCTCATACAAAGCGAAGCTAAGCCAAGCCAGATCTGGTTTGCACTTTGATGGAGGGCGATCAGGAATCCCGTAGTCTGTGCTGGGAAGTTAGAAAAATAAAACCACTTCAGCAAAGGTGAGACAGCTATAAAAATCCCTGCCTGCTATTGTCAGGAAGAAAACAACATAGATGTGTCCATGAAGGCAGACACAGGGCAGCCTTTGATCAACAGATGACAGCTTCAAGGTGACCTTGGCTAATCTTGAAGCAGCCAAATAGGGTTGAATCTGGCTGTGACAGCCCTATTCTCTCACAACAACTTCTAGGTAGGCAACCTTGGCTCTTTTATGACTCGTGGACTTCAGCTCCCAGAATTCCTGAGCCAGCCTGGCTCAGCTTGGAAACCTCTCCCTTTCCCCTCAGCATGGCTGGCTCAGGAATTCTGGGAGTTGAAGTCCACGAGTCATCAAAGAGCCAAGGTTGCCTACCCCTGGTCTAGGCGCATACCATACAATCATACAATATTTGTATTTTTGTACTTTATTTATATTGAAACTTGGCATCCTAGCCAGCCTCCCAATTCATTTACAGATAGACCTTGTTTAGGTCTTACAATTGGAACCAGCAACTCAGTCATTAAAAAAAGCAGTTGCTAAATGAAACCACGACTGTGCTTATGATCTTCTTTGCTTTAGAGCACTGTTGAAGGTTGTAAATGTGAGGACTGATTGCAAAATTAGTTTTCATCATCTTCGTAACCAAGAACAGTTGCTAAATGAGGCGGTCTTTAAACAAGGACTCCCTATATATGGACAACTCATCCTGGGATTGCTTTTGTATGTGGGTGGAAGACCACCAGTAAATATCAAGATAAGCTAGACAAGGAAGTAAAAAATATATATCCCTGTACAAGACGTTGGCAAGCTGCAGAATCATCCATGCAACCAACAAGAATGCAGAGAGAGACTTTATTTTTGCCCTTTGATACTTTTGTTCTTGAACTGAGACACAAGTTGGTTGCCCACATTGTGCTAATCATGTTGTTGTTGTTGTTGTTGTTAGTTGCAAAGTTGTGTCCGACCCATTGCGACCCCATGGACAATGTTCCTCCAGGCCTTCCTGTCCTCTACCATCTTCTGGAGTCCATAATTTGCTTTATTGGTTTGGCCCACAATTTCCTTTTAGCTTTGACCCAGTAAAAATGGCATATTCAGCAGACCATGGTTAAAATAGATCATGACTTCATTCAATTTTTTTATTGGGAGAATGTAATGGAAATAGTTTGCTGGTTTCATATGTTCATTGTTGCATAGACCACAGGAGCAACAGCAGTTTTTAGCAGCTGGCAACCTTAAAATGGGGATCTTAAGAAAGCCACAGTAATCCCCTCTTTCTTACCAAAAGCTCCCTGTGTATGTCTTGACCAAAATTATATTGAAGGAGAGGAATCAGTGAAATGGAACAAAATCTCCCCAAGAGATCGACAGAGGCCAGACTGAATCTCGAGGCCAGAGTGTACAGAGGACAGAGGAGAATTTAAGAATAATTCTTCTGTGAATTCTAAATTTTTTTCCAGTATTAAATCATAGTCAAGGTGTGGGTAACTTTCTTCCATTTTGGTGGTAGACTAGCCTGTTCCTTTATTAGAGACTGTATTTGAAAAAGATCCACAAATGTCCGCCTCCAAAGGTCACCACCCAGCTGTCAAGTTATCTTTTCTCTTCTATTATCATATGAAAGTCCAATCCCTCTTCAAATAACAAAGAGAAGTACAGTTGCAACGTCACTTTTTTTTTTTATAAAGAATAATTCTTCAGTAGCCATGATGGTGCAGTGGTTAGAATGCAATATTGCAGGCTAATTCTGCCCACTGCCAGCAGTTCAATTCTGACCAGCTCAAGGAGGACTCACCCTTCCACCCTTCCAAGGTTGGTAAAACACAGTTGGGGGCAATATTCTGACTCTGTAAACTGCTCAGAGAAGGCTGTAAAGTACTATGAAGCGGTATATAAGTGCTATTGCTATTCTGCTAGTTGAAATGTTGAGTGGAGGTCACCTTTAAGTACATTTAGATACATTCCTTTGCTGGGCAGCAAAACTTTCCAGAAAGTTTTTTTCAACTTCCCAATCCAGCAGCCCTTGAATTCCCTGATTTTTCAGTTATCCAGGTTCTAACTTGGATGCTTCCACTCAGTTTCCAAGTCTCAGTAAGGTCAGCCAGGTGCTGCCTGCTAATATGGGGACAATAACATCCGTCTCTTTGACAGAATTCTTGCAAGTAGGATTGCTGGTGACCCAGTTATGGCCTTCTGCGTGTACGGTTTTTACACTACCTTGCTGTGACGTGGTTTTCTGTGCTGTGACCAGCTTCATTGGCCAATTTCTGGAAATAAAATTGTTCCCAGGATACAAGAACAAATCAGGACCACTCTGTGCTATCATAATACTAACTCATCTTTTTAAGAAGCACTTAGAAAAGTGTTGAAATTATGTATTAGCACCGCATGCATTTATTTTTGCTACCTTTGGGGAATTGGCTTGCAAAACGAAGGGGCATTTATGTCCCTTTTGCCAACATTCTCACCCTGATGGGTTTCTCAAGGTATCTCAGCCACAGTTAAATACATCTGGACTGCACAACCTTCTAGGAAATTCCACAACCTGTTTGTGATAAAGTGGCAGCAAGTTCCTTGGGGTGGGTGAGGCAGTGCTGCGTCTCCTTAAGCTTAAGAAGGTCACTTCACTATCCTGGTGGTAGGAATTAGGCTTCTAAACAAAGAGCAGAGCCTGCAAATTGGATTGAGCAAGTCCTGGGCTCTGGAGGAAGCCGGATCTGTAAGGATTGTTATGCTAATCACCCAAAGCTGCACTCCAGCCTGCTTCTGGCTAAACCGAGGGAGCAGGAGGGGCTGTTGGGAGCCAACGTATATATCAGCCTCTCTGTCTGCTTTCCCTGAAGTCAGCTGTCAGTTGCACATTTCAGTTTCAGCCCCTGAAACGTACTTTGGCGTTTTCCAGCCTCTCAGTTGAGCAGAACAGAAAGCATTGCTCACCCTGTGGCTTTTAAAGGCTCGGCAGCCGAAACCACAGGGAGGCTGATTTCAGGGTTATACCCTGTGCAAAAAAGCAAGAGGCAGGATCCTTTGAAATAAACGACCCCAAACCTGCCCTTTTGCCGAAGAATGCAAGGGGAGCCTTTACTGGACCAGACAAAGTTTTCACGGAAGTTGTCTCTAGATGTTCAGTTCCTACTGTACCTCCAACCTATCAGAATGGACTTTTTTTTATCGGACGTGCACTTTTAGCAGGTGTCCCGGAAACACAAACTGACTCAGGGACTTTCTGCAGCTCAAGAAAAGTGATACTTGGCGATATGGTTTCCTAAAGGCCTCTCTTGAGGATAATGCGCTGTAGTGTACCACGTCATGCAAATGTAGTCCAGAAACCGACTAAAATGACCGCCTCAACAAAACTGACCTTCACCGCACCTTTGTGGATGACACAAAATGGGGAGGTCTGGCCAACACCCAGCATAGCAGAACAAGGCTGCAGTCCCACCAACAGCCTGGGAGACTAAGAACAAGCTGTTCCTCAATCAGGAGAAGCTTAAGGGAGAAAAAAATGTCAGACACAAATATAAGATGGGGGATTCGTGGCTTGGGTGTGCTACATCGGAGAAGAACTGAGCAGCAATATGAAAGTGACATAGGCTGAGTGTGAGTCAGCAGGGGAAACAGTAGCGAGAAAGCCTAAACCAGTGTTTCTCAACCTTGACCATTTTAAGGCATGTGGACTTTAACTCCCAGAATTCCACAGCCAGTAACGCTGGCTGTGGAATTCTGGGAGTTGAAGTCCACATGCCTTAAAATGGTCAAGGTTGAGAAACACTGGAAGCGGTTGTGGCTGCATCAGGAGAAGCAGTCTGTCCAAGACACATGAAGCCTTGATTCCTCTCTACTCAGCAGGACCACACCTGGAGTTCATCGGATACTGGGCACACTTCCAGAAGGATATCAACGGGTTCAGAGCAGGGTGAGAAAGATGATACAGAGACTTGAGGACGCTTCCTTTGGGGATAGGTTGAAGGAACTTGGGATGTTCAGTTTAGGGGTGAAAAAGATCCCTGAAGGAACAATAGCCATATTAGCATAGACTAGCCAAGGGAAACTCCAGGGAACTAACGTTGAGATTTCAACCTCATTTCAACTACAAATATTCTCCTTTATAGGAGCTAATGTCCATGACCACACCAACGAGACAGGTGAAAGTTGCAGCTACTTAGAATTTTGTTTGAAAGGAAACACTGCTTGTCAAAGAGATCCGTACAAGAGTCTCGATAGAAAAGAATATTTCTAGCTCCGGGTTGAAAGTCCTTGGTGCTTTTTGAGCTTGGTCCTTTTCTTATGGATGTTTCATTACCCATGTCTGAAGATGTTCCTACTTGGCTCATGAAACGTCCGCAAGAAAACAACCAACCTCAGAGAGCAGCAAGGATGCTATAATACAATAAGTTTAAAGACAAGCTAGGTAGTCAAGTCTCATGGATGGTCCTTTGGTAATAATAATAATAGTAAAGTTGGAAGGGACTTTGGAGGTCATCTAGTCCAACCCCCTGCTTAGGCAGGAAACCCTACCTGCCCAGAAAAATGGCTGTCCAGTCTCTTCTTAAAAACTTCCAGTGTTGGAGCATTCACCGCTTCTGGAGGCAGGTTGTTCCACTGGTTAATTGTTCTAACTGTCAGGAAGCTTCTCCTTAGTTCTAGGTTGCTTCTCTCCTTGATGAGTTTCCATCCGTTGCTTCTTGTTCTGCCTTCAGGTGCTTTGGAGAATAGCTTGACTCCCTCTTCTTTGGGGCAGCCCCGGAGATATTGGAAGACTGCTATCATGTCCCCCCTCGTCCTTCTCTACATTAAACTAGACATACCCAATTCCAGCAGCCTTTCCTTATATGCTTTGGCCTCCAGTCCCCTAATCATCTTTGTTGCTCTTCTCTGTACTCTTTCTAGAGTCTCAACATCTTTCTAGAGTCTCAACGTCATCATTCCCTCCAGATACACAATTGCAGGGGGTCTCCAAACCCGGTCCATGGACCAGCACCGGACTGTGGCATGCCAGCAACTGTGCAAACAAGCCAAGCCCCATCTGCGGGATGCAGTGGCACGCGAAACCAGGCCCCGCTTTGGTCTGCAGAAAAACCTATCTCCACGGAATTGGTCCCTGGGGCCCAAAAGGTAGGGGGCTGCTGCACTACAGCCTTGTATCATTCTAGAACTTAAAGAGAGTTATGTAGCTCGGGGGGTCTGGGCACAGTGTGATCACTCCAATTTGATTCTCTTCCAGCATCTGTACAGTAACAGTAGAACAGAGTTGGAAGGGACTTTGGAGATTTTCTAGTCCGGGATAGGCTCTTTTATGACTCGTGGACTTCAACTCCCAGAATTCCTGAGCCAGCCATGCTGAGAGGAAAGGGAAAGGTTTCCAAGCTGAGCTATGCTGGCTCAGGGATTCTGGGAGTTGAAGTCCACGAGTCATGAGGGGGCCATAGTTCCCTCATGCTGGCTCAGGAATTCTGGGAGCTGAAGTCCACGAGCCATAAAGCGGCCTATGCCTAGGCCAGAGGTAGGCAATCTTGGCTCTTTTATGACTCATGGACTTCAACTCCCAGAATTCCTGAGCCAGACACACTGAGGGGAAAGGGAGAGGTTTCCAAGCTGAGCCAGGCTGGCTCAGGAATTCTGGGAGTTGAAGTCCACAAGTCATGAGGGGGCCATAGTTCCCCCATGCTGGCTCGGGAATTCTGGGAATTGAAGTCCACCGGTCATAAAGCGGCCTAGGCCTAGGCCAGAGGTAAGCAACCTTGGCTGTTTTATATCTCATGGACTTCAACTCCTAGAATTCCTGAGCCAGCCATGCTGAGGGGACAGGGAGAGGTTTCCAAGCTGAGCCAGGCTGGCTCAGGAATTCTGGGAGTTGAAGTCCCTGAGTCATAAAAGAGCCAAGGTTGCCTACCCCTGTTCTAGTCCAATCCCCTGCTCAAGCAGGAGACCCAAAGCACTCCAAACAAATGACTGTCCAGTCTTGTCTTAAAACCCCCCCGTGATGGAGTACTCACAACTTCTGGAGGCAAGTCGTTCGACTCCAAAACTGCCCCACATTTCTAACACCAGTGAAAAGTCAATCAAGCACCATGTACAAGGGAGCATTTCTTTAAAAAAAATCATAGCATTTACGTGCTGCCCAAACAAATCGACTGCATCTATGTGCTGCTTTACAAAAGGCAAAACACTGAGACTCAGCAATCATCAAAGCCCAATTAAAATTAATTTGAGGCATTCGGTGTAAACTATTTCAGCAGCACAATATGGAGAAGATGCTTTCTGTTCACAGTTTTGGAAGTTTCCACTCAGGAAGACCAGGCCAAGACCTGTTTGATAACCGGGGCAGCAGTGAGTTCACACAAGGCATTAAGTCAGTGGTTCTCAACCTTTTTAATGCCGCGACCCCCAACCGGTTGTAAGTCGAGGACTACTCAACCGGTCGTAAGTCGAGGATTACTCAATGGGTGCAGCACCGTTTGCAGAATGGGACTTTTGGTAGGCTCAGCAGGGCAGAGACAGCCTGGACAATTCCTATTGGCTTTTGAAAGCCAATAGAATTAGACTCTGTTCAAGAGAGTCTATTCTATTGGCTTTCAAAAGCCAATAAAATAAAAGGGAGTAGCACAGCTAAGAAAAAGGGGGAAAAAATGGCGGACTGCGTTGTTTGGCGACCCCCGTGAAATGGTCGTTCGACCCCAAATGGGGTTCCGACCCACAGGTTGAGAACCACTGCATTAAGTAAACCGCCCCCCCCCCCAAAAAACTTTGGGGATCTGTTGTTAACCACTGCCAGGCTTAGGGCAGCACATCCTTCTGCTTTGATTGCTTCCCCCTCCCTTCTCTTGGGGAGGGGGTGTCGAAGAAGTCAAGATGGCAGTGGCAACCTTGGGATTGAACCTGCTGCCTTGGTTTTTTGTTGTTGTTGTTGTTGATGTTGTTGATTTGCTCCAGGGGAAAGTCTGCTATCCTTCTCAAGGAAAGGCAGGGAGTAGTCCAGAGCCCCCGGTGGGCTCTGCTCTTCCAGAGATCTTTACAATGGGGGTGAGCACCCCATGTTCTACCTTCTATGGTATCTTCCACCCTCTTACTTCAGATCTGGCCTGTTCAAAGTCTACAGCTGCCTCCTAAAACTTTTAGGGAATCAGCTGCATCGAGCTTTCGGATGCTTCCCCCCCCCCCGCTGTAAAAAAGCTCGCTTAAAGTGAAAGCAACACAACTGCCCTAGCGTGCCTGGCAGAAAAGCTCTGTGCCAGCCGTCTCCTTGCAGATGTTTGTGTCTCCAGGGACCCCACGTCTGCAAGAGAACCCACCACCTGTAATCCTGGCTAGCAGCAGCCACAGACCCTGGGAGCCTTCTGGGGAAGAGGGGGGGGACCCGCTTCTCACGCCCTCTGCTCCTGCCCCACCAGGCTTCCAGCGAGATCCAGGGCCCTCCCAAAAGATGGAAAGGGGCCCGGTGGAGGGAGGACAAGCCCTATCTGTGCTCCCCCCCCGTTCCCCCCCCCCAAGCACCGGATGGCAGGGTCTGGGAGCAGCCCGGATCAGCAGAGCTATTCAAGCCGTGCAGCCTGGCAACCGGGTGGCAACAATGGGTGTCCCGGAGGGGGAATGTTTCTGCATGCCTGCTCAATGGGAGGGGGAGACAGCCGAGCAAACAGGGGCTGGGAAGGCCCGGCTGCCTCCCTTTCATTGATCACCCGCTTTGTGGGGCTGGTGACAACTCTGGCCCTGGGGAGGCTGCTCACAGGGCAGGGGGGAGGCAGAGCGAGAGGCCCCTCCCCAATGAAATGGAGGCCTTTTGTCCTCCTCGGAAAGGGGGGCAACCCCCAAGGCCATCTGTGCTCATCCAGGCCTCCAGGCTTGTGCCCAAGGAAGGGCACACTCCCCCCCCCCCAGCCCCAGAAAGGAGCAGCAATTTGGAGCCTTCATTGCTGATTTGGGAGAGAGAGAGAGTGAGAAAAAAAGGGAGGGAAGGAGGGAAGGAAGGAAGAGAAATAAATAAATAAATAAATAAATAAATAAATAAATAAATAAATAAAAAAATCTGGGAGGAAGGAAAGAAGGAAGGAAGGAAGGAAAGAAAGAAAGACAGACAGAAAGAAAGAAAGAAAGAAAGAAAGAAAGAAAGAAAGAAAGAAAGAAAGAAAGAAAGAAAGAAAGAAAGAAAGAAAGAAAGAAATCTGGGTGGAAGGAAAGAAGGAAAGAAGGAAAGAAAGAAATCTGGAAGTAAGGAAAGAAGGAAGGAAAGAAAGAAGGAAAGAAAGAAATCTGAGAGGAAGGAAGGAAAGAAAGAAAGAAATCTGGAAGGAAGGAAAGAAGGAAGGAAAGAAAGAAGGAAAGAAAGAAATCTGAGAGGAAGGAAGGAAGGAAAGAAGGAAAGAAAGAAAGAAAGAAAGAAAGAAAAAGAAAGAAAGAAAGAAAGAAAGAAAGAAGGAAAGAAAGAAATCTGGGAGGAAGGAAGGAAGGAAAGAAGGAAAGAAAGAAAAAGAAAAGAAAGAAAGAAAGAAAGAAAGAAAGAAAGAAAGAAAGAAGGAAAGAAATCTGGGAGGAAGGAAGGAAGGAAGGAAGGAAGGAAGGAAGGAAGGAAGGAAGGAAGGAAGGAAGGAAGGAAGGAAGGAAGGAAGGAAGGGAGGGAGGGAGGGAGGGAGGGAAGGAGGAGCTGTTTCACTTCAAATGCAATTATGTCCAACACAGTTGCTGGCAAAGGAGCCTGGCTCTTGTGGGGATGGTGGGGAACAAGACGGACTCCTGTGCTGGCTGGGGTACTTGGGGAGGGGGGCTGTGATTACAGAGGGGAGGGGGATGGCCCAGTTCTCGCACCAGGCAGACCAGGCTGGAGTTTTTGCTGTCCTCTTTTATCTTAGAGGGCTTGGAAAGGCTTTATAAAATAGGTGTGTTAAACCTCTCAAAGGATGAATGTAACTCTTTACAAACCGAAACAGAATTGCCGCCCAGCCATGGTTCACAGTTTTGCTGCGAAATGTGGGCAGGGCACAGAAGTCAGTCCTTCCCCCCCCCCCCCAAGGCCTCCCCATCCACTCACCCCGCTCTTTGCCTTTGGCCAGTCCCCGGATCCCCTTCTCCATCTCCATCATCGGTGAAGTAGGGCTGGAGCGAAGTCTGCCAGGAGCTGGTGTTGCCAAAGCCTCAGCCTCGGTAGTCCCCTGAAGGAGATGCGTGGCTTAGCCCTGTGAAGAGGATGTGGCCCTTCCGATTGCCCATCATGGCTTTCTGCCACACTGCCTCAAGGGCATTTTGGGAAGATAAAATGGCAGCCCCTCCCTCGTATTGGGCTGTGGCCAGCAAAGGTCTAAAGAAAGAGTCCGGAGCCCATCATGGAGGCCTCGGCCACTTGCTGAAAATTAACCCAACAATGGAGACAAACCCAAATTCACAGTCAGGGTTTGGGCAGTTCATCCACAGCATTGAACCAGGCAGGTCGAGATCTATGGTATGACAGGGAGGGGAGGAGCCTTCTCGGAATTGTCTGCTTGGGAAGGGGAGAGGGCATCATCTATTCCAGGGGTAGGCAACCTCGGCTCTTTTATGACTCGTGGACTTCAACTCCCAGAATTCCTGAGCCAGCTATGCTGAGGGGAAAGGAGAGGTTTCCAAGCTAAGCCATGCTGGCTCAGGGATTCTGGGAGTTGAAGTCCACAAGTCATGAGGGGGCCATGGTTCCTCCATGCTGGCTCAGGAATTCTGGGAGTTGAAGTCCATGAGTCATAAAAGAGCCGAGGTTGCCTACCCCTGATCTGTTCTAACCCTAAAATGGCTACCCTTGTGCTCGAGGGCAATCCCAAAACATCCACTGACTGAAGGAAATCTCCTGGATGGTCCCCATTCTTACAAAACTATTCTCCTGCCACCCCAGTTCCCTTTTTTTCATTTTTTTTTTCAGGGCAGGTCATCTGAATGCCAATGGAACCAGGGTTAGACCTGGGGTGCAAACATTCTGACAGCCACTAGGAGGCAGTAAAGGGTAAGACTTTTGCCACGGTTTAGGGGGGCATCTGGTTCCATCCAAGTTTTGACATCGTGAATGTGGCATTCTTATAAAGCCATTTTCTCTAAACCAGTGGTTCTCAACCTTTTTAATGCGGCGACCCCCAACCGGTCGTAAGTCGAGGACTACTCAACTGGTCGTAAGTCGAGGACTACTCAACTGGTGCAGCACCCTTTGCAGAATGGGACTTTTGGCGGGCTCAGCAGGGCAGAGACAGCCTGGACAATTCCTATTGGCTTTTGAAAGCCAATAGAATTAGATTCTATTCAAGAGATCTATTCTATTGGCTTTCCAAAGCCAATAGAATAAAAGGGAGTAGCACAGCTAAGGAAAGGGGGGGGGGGAAATGGCAGACTGCGTTGTTTGGCGACCCCCGTGAAATGGTCGTTCGACCCCAAATGGGGTCCCGACCCACAGGTTAAGAACCACTGCTCTAAACCATTCAAGAAGGAAGAACATTTTTAAAAAATAGTCAGGAGGATGCGAGGTGGGCAAACTCCAAGAGAATTGGAGCTATTGGATAGCTCTCTGCATCTCTTTCTTCCTTCTGTTGGTCATCAGGAAATGTTGGGATCTGCAAACAGGGCACAACTTGTGAGCCCAGCGGCCCAAACACAGCAGGGTGCGCAACTTCACAATTGCCTCTTCCCAGGTTTGGCTGCCCAGCTTCACAGGACCTGCTGGGCAGCACTGAATGTCTGGGCACTGGGCAGGCAGCAGGAGGAAGGCAGAACCGGGACAACCCAAAGCCGCTTTGGCTAGTGTGGCAGGGAAAAGCGAAGATCTGTGGATCAGGTCCCTGGCATCCAGCCACTTTGCAGTGACTCTTTTTCCTGAAGAAAGTATAGGACAAACTTGGAAAAGAGGCACATCTGAAGAAGGCCGAGAAGGATAAACTGTTGCATGTGTATAACTTTGTTGGCCAAGTAAAATGCAAAAGCAAAACCAAGACTAACTTTACTTTAATAAGATAGCTAAATTCAAACAGCTTGTGTGTTAAGTCTGCTTTAAAAACACAATCCCATTTCCATATTTTTCAGATGACTGTGGGAGGCTGTGCATTAAGTGGGAGCAGTTGGTATGGTAGCAATTAAATGACCAAAGGAAAAGACATCGGTGAGCTTTTGAAAAATAAACACATCTAAAGGACTGTGCTTTATAAGAAAGGATGGGTGGTCACTATAAGATACACCTGCTCCCTGCTGTAGAGATTGTGCTGTGATTGCCTGGGGTTGCCCCAAATCAGAAGGAGCCAGTAACACACACACACACACACACACACACACACACACACACACACACACACACCCCTTCCATCAAACAGATGTTGTTTGAAGGCAGAAGCTTTGGGGAGCTGCAGAGGCAAAGGTGTGACCAGCCCCTTCTGATTGTTGACCTCTTCTCCATTTCTTCCTTCTAGAATATAAAGCATGGAATAAGAGGGCTGGAAGAGGCCTTGGAAGTTTTCCAGTCCATCCCCTGCTCAAACAGCTGTCCAATCTCTTATTGAAAACTTCCACTGATGAAGCACCCACAACTTCTGGCTAAGAAGGCAATCAGGCTCAAGCATTACCATTTGAATAAGGAACCATGATGCTCTTTGGCCTCTGCTCTACTTCTGTGTGTGTGTGTGTGTGTGTGTTTGTGTGTGTGTGTGTTTGTCTCCCTCCCTCCCTCTCACACACACATACACACACCTATCTATCATCTGTCTATCTATGTATATATAAACTTCTACAATGCCCTTCTCGCTGAGGTGACTCTTCCCATAACCTTTCCATCCCTGATGCTTCTCACAGTCTTCCCAGTCATGTGGCCCTATAACTCCCATTATCTTCCAGTCAGCCTGCTCTGGAAAGGCTCAAGGGGGCTGGGGGGGAGGTGGGTGGATGGTCTTCAGATGCGGCTCAACATGTCTATGATTCTAAATTTATTCCTCCCCTTACAGCCTGCCACAAGATTTAGCATTAACAAACTAAAGTGGCGTCAGAGTTTGCCAAATATGCAAAAAAGCCATCTCGTAAGCTGGTCTGGAATAAAAGCTTTCCAGAGTAATAATTTCATCCTTTTATCTGTAAGAGCCTTAAATACAGATTGCAAACAATACTAGCTCTGTACACCGTGTCAAGGGCCCTGAAAAGTTCTAATTGATAATAAATAATTCAGTTTCTTGCCTAGTCCCAAATTTGCTGAAATCTTGGGCAGTGATCCAAGCAAATGATTTAAAGAATCTTTTGGAATTGGAGGGAGAAAATTGGTCCAATAAAAATTACTTCCTCCTCCTCCTCCTCCTCCTCCTTCTCCCATCTTACACCTGTCTTGATAAATCAGAGCCAGAGTCAAGCTCGCCATGGACCAAGTGATGACAAACAGCTAATTCTTGGGGATCTACTTCCTCCATGACTCTTACCTGCTGAGATTCTCCTTCTAAAGGTGTATAGTTTCTATTTGAGCTGTATATGAACTTGGGACTGCTTAGCACTCATCAGACATGCAAAATATTTGGACATCTGGAATGGAAAAAAAAATATCTTTCACAAATAAGGTAGACTGCATTTTTCTGGACAGAGCTTTGCCTGGCCCTCCCTGACTGCCAGCTGGCTGTGTTGGGCTGCAGGGCCAAACTCCACTTGCCACCAGGTGAGAGGGGTTGATCTGCTGCCCTTTTATAAGCCCTCGACAGGTGAGACTGGTGTTTTCCCTCATTCCGCCTCCCCCCAAACCGCCTCTTCGTTACTCTAACCCTGACTGCGAGGGTAAAGCAGGATACAGTTACCTATGACTTCAATTAGGGCTGGAATCTTGGAGCAGTTTAAAATATTCTGAACTGAATTTAATGACATTTTCTTATCAATCTATTAATACACTTTTCAAAGGTTAATTGTTTATTGTTAGGGAAAGTTGCAGGACCAAAAGCCCTTTTTAAAAGAAACACGTGCACACCATTTACACTGGCATGCAAAGAGTGGTGGTGGTGGGGGGGAATCTGTTCTAAGTCACAGGGATTCTCCTTGGGACTTTCACCCCAGGCCAGGGTGTCAACCTAAAGAGGGAGAAAAGCTATTCTCCAAAGCCCCTGAAGGCAGAACAAGGAGCAATGGATGGAAACTAACCAAAGAGAGAAACAATACAGAACTAAAGTCAAATGTCCTGACAGTGAGAATAATTAATCAGTGGAACAGAAGTTGTGGGTGCTCCATCACTGGAGGTTTTTAAAAAGAGGTTGGACAACCATTTGTCGGAAATGGTATAGGGCAGAGGTGGCGAACCTATAGCACGCGTGCCAGAGGGGGCACTCAGAGCCCTCTCTGTGGGCACATGAGCCATCACCCCAGCTCTGCCTCCCCTTGCAGCCCCCTCCTCACCATCAGCCCCCCCCCAAGGAAGAGAGTCACCTCCAGGTGCAGCCCATGCAGAGCAGCGTAGCCAAGGACATGGCAGCTGAGCAGTGAGGACAAGACTCCACCCTTGCACCCCATCGCTTGTAGATAATGCTGTGGGGTGCAGGCGGAGGGTGTGGCCACCATGGTGCCACTGGGTCACCTGGGCAATCAGCTGTGGCAAGCCATGGAAGCAGTGGGTGGCCCTGTGGGCGGACGGGGGCGGGGCGGGGGCAGGTTTGGGGCACTCGGTCTCTAAAAGGTTCGCCATCACTGGTATAGGACTTCCTGTCTGAGCAGGGGGTCGGACTAGAAGACCTCCAAGGTCTCTTCCAACGCTATTATTCAGATCACCATCATCCTTAGGGGAGGAAAGCAGTCTGGGGTAGCACAAAATCATGTAGCGTCTGGAATTGCCTTTTCTGACTAACCGGATTAAAAGGCAGAAGTTCGCGAGAACTCTTCTTGGGAGTCCTTGCAAATTCCCAGCCCTTTCCTCGCCTCAGCTGACTTACTTACTGTCTTTTATTTATTTATTTATTTATTTATTTATTTATTTATGAGACTTATATACCGCTTTAAGTGCAAGCACTCTCTAAGCGGTGTACACCAGTAAGCAATGTATATATATATTTACATTGCCCCCAACAATCTGGGTCCTCATTTTACCTACCCCGGAAGGATGGAAGGCTGAGTCAACCTTGAGCCGGTGAGATTTGAACCGCTGACCTGCTGAACACAGTCAGCTAAAGTGGCCTGCAGTACTGCACCCTAACTGCTGCGCCACCTCGGCTCTTTTGATCCGGTGAGCAGAAAAGCCCTGTCTATAATTTATAGGTCCGTGATGGCGAACCTATGGCACGCACGCCGTCGCCCCAGACCTAGGCCTTCAGCTGGGTTTTATAAAACCTTTTCGCTTTAGGCCTCTGCCGCCGTGCGCAAAAAAAAAAAAGGTTCAATCAGTCAATTTCAATTTCTCGCGGGAAAAAAAAGATCTCACCAAGTTGGAATTGATTGATTGAACTTTTTAGTCCCACCCAGTCTGCCGTTACTACCGAAGCCACGCCCATCCAATGGGCCACGCCCACCCAATGGGCCACACCCACCCAGCACCCGATGATACATAAGTGGGTTTTGGGTTGCAGTTTGGGCACTCGGTCCCTAAAAGGTTCGCCATCACTGTTATAGCTGGTTCTCAAAGTACAACCGTTAGTTCGTCACCACTACAACGGCACTGAAAAAAGTGACTTACAATCGGTCCTCGCACTTATAACGGTTGCAGCATTCCCACGGTCATATGGTCAGAATTTGAGGACTTGGCAACCAGCATACGGTTATGACAGTTGCAGCCTCCCACAGTGTCATGGGGGTCACCATTTACCATCTTCCCAGCCAGCTTCTGTCAAGCAAAGTCAACAGGAGAGGGGAAGCCAAATTCACTTAACGACGTGTGATTCACTTAACAACTGCGTTGATTCTCAGGCAAAAAGAGATCTTGAAATCACCCCTGACCCAGTTAACAACCACCTTGCTGGGAAATTCTGGTTCCAACTGTGGCTGTAAGTGGAGGAGGGCCTGCATGCGGGAAGGACCTTGGGAGACGGGAGGAAGAGTGGCAGTCCAGGCGACGGTCCAGCCAGAGGCCCAACCGAAGGAGGAAGGTGGGGAAAGTGCCTGGGGAAGGGGCCTCCCTGGTTTTCAGGTGAGCCCGAGGAGGACAAGAGGGGATTTTCCAACTTGCAGAGAGATCCATTACCGTAGCCCAGGGCTCTGCAGCCATGACCACTTTAAGACTTGTGGACTTCAGCTCCCAGAATTCCTCTAGCCAGCTATGCTGGCTGAGGAATTCTGGGAACTGAAGTCCACAAGTCTTAAAGTGGTCAAGGTTGTAGACCTCTGCCATAGCCTTCCACACTTCATTTTGGCTAGATGGCTGAGAACCAGTTACCAAATATTCTATTTGTTAAACCGTTTTATTTTAATGCCAGTTTAGAATACTTTTGTAACTAATAAATAATAATAATAATAATAATAATAATAATGGATGGGACCTTGGAGGTCATCTAGTCCAACCCCCTGCTCAGGCAGATAACCCTATACCAGTGATGGTGAACCTTTTAGAGTGCCCAGACTGCAACCCAAAACCCACTTATGTATCATCGGGTGCCGGGCGGGCATGGCCCATTGGGTGGGCATGGCTTTGGTGGTAACGGCAGTCTGGGTGGGATTAAAATGTTCAATCAATGAATTCCAACTTTGAGAGATCTTTTTTTTCCCTGCGAGAAGTTGAAATTGATTGATTGAACCTTTTTTTTTTGCACACGGCAGCGGAGGCCTAAAGCGAAAAGATTTTATAAAAGCCAGCTGAAGGCCTAGGACTGGGGCGATGGAGCACGTGCACCCATGCCATAGGTTCGCCACCACGGGCCTATACCATTTCGGACAAATGGCTGTCCAATCTCTTCTTTAAAACCTCCAGTGTTGGAGCATTCACCGCTTCTGGACGCAGGTTGTTCCACTGGTTAATTGTTCTCATTGTCAGGAAGTTTCTCCTTAGTTCCAGGTTGCTTTTCTCCTTGATGAGTTTCCATCCGCTGCTTCTTGTCCTGCCTTCAGGTGTTTTGGAGAATAGCTTGACTGCCTCTTCTTTGGGGCAGCCCCTCAAATATTGGAAGACTACTATCATGTCCCCCCTCATCCTTCTCTTCATTAAACTAGACATCCCCAATTCCTTTTGGTCATAAATGAAATTGATGGTGACTGCCACTTCACAATAAAGATGGAATTAGTACTCCCCATCGTGTTTCTGGTCTTGGCAGCCTCACAGGGCTAAAAGCACTCCAGAAATAAGCGAGAACTGCCACAGGGCTGCTGCAGGAGGGCGGTCGGAGTTGCGGTCTGGGGTGGGGTCCCAGAGGATACAAACAGCCGGCTCCCCCTTGCTTCTCCTGAATGCCTAGTTGGAGCCAGGACACTCCTCCACTCTGGGGAAGGGGCTCCATCACAAAGACTAGAGAAACAGGCAGCTAGAAGGGACATAAAAAGCTGCAGGTGGCCCAGCCAGATTTCTTGGAGGGAAATTGGGAGGGGGGACGGAGGGGCGATTTCGAAGGAAGCCCTAAATGCCCAAGCAAAATCGCTTGCTTGGTGCCCCCTGCTCAGAGTTCAACTAATCAAGGAGAGAAGCAACCTGGAACTAAGGAGAAACTTCCTGACAGTGAGAACAATTAACCAGTGGAACAACCTGCCTCCAGAAGCAGTGAATGCTCCAACACTGGAAGTTTTTAAGAAGAAACTAGACAGCCATTTGCCTGAAATGGTATAGGGTTTCCTGCCTGAGCAGGGGGTTGGAATTGATGACCTCCAAGGTCCCTTCCAACTTTATTATTATTATTATTATAGATCATCGCACAGTCAGCCAG